GAGATATTATTGTTCGGATATATTCCTGTTTGGATATTTAAATGATGTATGACTTGTCAGGGTATTTTAATATATGGTGTTAATAAAAATTTTTGTTTGGTTAATTATTACCACATGGTAAGCCCTCATTGGACCCAATGAGTGGCGTGTCGCTTGGTCCAACTCACCTTTGACCGGGTGATTTGGCGTCCGAGCATGGCGAAAGGAGGATATAAGATGCAGTCATGCAAATTAAATACTTATTCGGTTTGTTTGAAAATATTGTTCCGTTAAATGTTTTGTGTGCCCACTTAACAATCGCATGATTAGTTATAACCGTATGCATTATTACATATTAATTTTTGGTTACTGAGACTTTTAAGTCTCATTTCTCGTGGTTAATATTTTTACAGAAGCGAGTTCGGCCGAGAAAGCACCAGAGGTGTAATTATGGTATATGAGACACCATCTTTTACGTTGCCTCCTATTTTAGATTATGCAATGTATCTTGTGCCAACTTAGAACATTTCTTATTTTGACAACATGTAAACTCTAATGTTTTTTATTAAATGCATTTATATGACTAAGAGGATTATGTTTGTCGCTCTTGATTCATGACCTGATTTAAATATCATGCCATGAGGATCCTATCTATCCTTCATGGTTCTAATTATTTTTTTTTGAGATATTTTAAGACCTGTGGTATATTGTCTTGGATGTATCATGGTAAGAAAATTTTCTACCATGATAATGGTTTTAATAATTTGCGAAAAATCGGTTTGTATTTTTGAGGGTGTTACACCTTTCTTATTATATTCTCTTTCTTTAATATTCTTTTATAAATGAAGTATTAAATGAAGATCATTTGTGAATTTTTTATTTTTGTCTTAAAAAAATAACATTGTAAAGTGTATTTAATAAATTTTTATTGATATATTTGATTTTGTTTAAAAGTATCTAATAAATTTAAATGAGGCAAGTATTATATATTAATAAAAAATAATATGTATATTATATATAGGATGGAAGGAAGGTAGTCTAGTGGCCCACCCTATCCTGAACCATTTTTTGTCTAGTCTTGCAAAGTTCTGTCCTCCTTTTTAGATTATGATAGACTCATCCCGACATAGCTAGGACATGAATACCCATAGTAGAAATACAAATGAATGCGTATATTCACTAGCAAAAGAAGCTCATAATGTGACTACTGAGATGATTAGCAGAGAACCTCCTCCACAATGCAAGGAACTCATGAGGATTGATTTGATCAAGAATATGATAATCCCTAAGGTTAATGCTTTTCTTTTAATCTTTTTAAGATCACTTGTTAAGTGAATGGATTTAGACTACTTATCAATTTTTTTTTTTGAATAAGAAGACAACTACAGTTGATTAGGAAAAGAAATAGTAACATCATATAAATATCCATGAGAATTAAAATTTTCACTAACTAAGGACTTCCACCAAATCAACTATCTTTCCGAAAACTCTTCAAACCAGTGATAACCAAAATATAAAAGTAGATTATTGATATCACTCCACAGCATCCGTGTTTATGGGCTTGAAGTAGCTCTACTCAAAAGATTGTTGATTTGCTTAGGGTTTTTAAACACTAGTAATATTTGAGAAACCTGATGGCCCAAAGTCCTCTAAATTAGTAATCCATTTAATAGTTGATCTTAGTTCTTTCATGGAAAAAAACAAAGGATCAGTAGTGCAATGAGTTTACTTATGGATTCTTGCATTAATGAAGCTATAGTCTTTGAAAAAGAGAATTGTCATCTCTCTTAAATTTGATCCTGAGTTGCAAGAAATCTTGTGGTAGCTTAGAAATAGAAACAATCCCCTTCTAGCTCTAGCTTTGCAAAATTTGAACTTCATACCTTGAGATGCACAATGTAAAACAGGTGCTTTAGAATCAGTTGTAGCTATCAAAAGTGATTAAATGAGCCATTTGACTTTTTTTGTTACCTCAGAAGGATGAACTTCTTTCTATTCATGCTTGGCTAAATTCCTGAACTCCCAAATTATTTATATTGTCAAGGGCACCTCCACCTCCTTAAGAATATGCATATTAGATGGAATTGATTCATCGGACTTGATCTAGAAAGAAATGAAATTGCTAGTATTCTCCATAGCACCTGATATGATCAAACAAGATGATGCATACTAAATTGCTCTTGCAAAGTCACAAAAGAGAAATCTATTATTCAAAGACTCGCTATGATTACTACAAAGTGAACAAATTCAGGATACTTGCAGGTGATGCTTCCACAAAAAAATTGGACTTGGAATAGCTTCATTCAAAACCTTCCAAATAAATAACAGTGTACTATGAGGCAATTTAATTTTCTAGAAGAACTTCCAATTGATGTCAAGTGAAGATGCATTAGCAATTGATGAGCCATGTGAGATAAGATGGTACCCTTTCTTGATAGAATAATTACCCCTAATTGATTTCGTCCATATCAAGCAATCTTCCTGGTTGAAAAAAAGAGAAGGTTGTGCTTAAAGTTTCCTCTCTGACTCGGCTATCATATGAAGAATTTAAAAATTGCTCTTTCCATGTAGCACGTTCCTTGTCGAAAAGATTAACCATAGAGAGATTCCTGTGAACTAAACTATCCCTCAAGGGAAACCACTTCATGTGGTCAATTGGAATTGAAGTTCCATCTCCAACTTACCATTTCAAGCAGTCCGAAATCACATAGGAAACCTTAAGAACATCCTTCGTGATTTGGGAATAATTATTTTTTTGGCTTGCAATCACCTTTCAGAGTTGAGTTCAGATATTTAACTTTCAAAGTTTTCCCAATACGATAATTATCATCCACAGAAACAATTCTCCTGGACTGTTTTGCAAGTAAAACCTTGGTTAAATGGAATGGTTTGAGACCAAGACCACCAGTCCTGTTAGACTTACAAAGGCTCCTCCAAGATGATAAATGCACTCTTTTGATTCCTTCAGAAGAGTATCCCTAGAAGAAGTTTGCGCAATTAGAATCAAGTTTTGATGCAAGATTCTTTGGAAAGAGAAAGCAAGACAGCTGATAAATACTTGAAGAAGCTAAAATAGACTTGATAAGAGTCAATCTTGAGACAAAAGAGAAGATTTCCATCCACCAAACTTAGACTGAAATTTCTGCAAAACCTCCCTAAACATTCTTTGTTTTTCAGTTTCATTATTAGTAAACATGCCAAGGTATTTTCCAAGAGAGTCAAGTGTTTCTAACAATTAGCATCTTGGCCCATCTATCTTTGCTAACAGTTAGCATCTTGGCCCATCTATCTTTGTCTTCAAGAGAAGAATTTGGGCTAAAAATGACTTTAGATTTGTTGAAATTAACTTATTGGCCAAAAAAGTGGCAATAATTCGCAACAGTGCTCTTCACCAATTGACATTGTGCGTCTTTAGCTTTGAAGAAAAGAAAAGTGTCATCAGCGTAACTAAGGTGAGTTAATGGATAAACTCTTCTATAAATTTTGATGCCTTCCCATTTTCTATTATCCTCCATTTTGGCAATTGCACAAGACAGGACATTAGCACAGATAATAAAAAGATAAGGAGATAAAGGATCCCCTTATCAAATTTAAATCCATAATATATCTATTGTGCAAGGAAAATGATAATGATTGAATTCTTAAAGACACTAAACCCAAAGGAGTAAAGGACTTCATTCCCTAGGTTTCGAGCACAAAAATAAATTAATTTTATCAATTAGCCGAAGGAATTCTTTGACCTTTGTCAATTTTTTTTTTGAATATTTTACAAATATTTCAAGTCAATGTAAATGATTACTTCCCTCACTCAGGTTATTCTTTTTTTTTTGGGGTTAAGTAAGGCAATTTGCAAAAACATGATTGAATTTACTACTCCCTCCATCCCAAATTATATAACATTTTTAAAGGAGTTTCTCAATTTCAAAATATAAGATAAATTGAATAAATTAATATTTCATTAAATGCATTAATTTTAATGCTACTCTTTTTCTCTTTATAATTAATTTTTATCCTTTTTCTTTTCAATATAGTAAATTATGGTTATTTTTAAAATTTTATATTTTTATTCGTTAAATGTATTTAATGAGAATTATTAATATGTGAGATTTTATCTAAAAGTATATTATAATTTAAAATAGAGGAAGTATAAAAGACTATCTCCTTACCACATGATAAATTAAATTTTAAATTTTTGTTGAGAGAGTTGTTCATGCCTCAAACATGATTACATCTAATATAAGAGATTTGTGTTGCACTTTAGTTAAATTTAATATGCACCTCAATTGACATTTTTTTTAAAATGTGTGATGTTTAATAATAATAGGAAAAAGTGATCTTTTAGTCCTTTAACTTTTAATTCATTTGTAATTCAATCTCTCAACTATGACACGTTATAATTTAGTCCTTCAACTATGACTCGCTTATGACTTAATCCCTCAACTTTTGAATCACTTACAAATTAGTTCCTGAATTTTTGTTAATTTTTTTTATATTAGCTTATATCTTACATCAATAAGCAAAGAAGGGTATTTTAGAATAATAGATGAGCATTTTTTTATCCCTCTTATTTGATAATTTTTTTTTAAAATTAAAAATAAGGATCAAATTTTAGGTGAATCAAAAGTTGAGGGATTGAATCGCAGCGAGTTACAGTTGAGGGATTGAGTTGTAGAGAATCATAATTGAGAGACTGAGTTATAAATGAGTTAAAAGTTAAAGGATTAAAAGATTATTTTTTTATAATAATAATACCTTTTCGGGCTTTTTGGCTTAATATCAAGTGTAGCATCTATTTTTATAATAATAATAATAATAATAATAATATATGGGTTTATGTAATGTATTAATTGATGCGTCAGAAAATCACGCGGACATGAGGACAATGAAATCTGTCGGAGAAGAATTCACTGAGACTCGAAGGAGAGCCCCAAGCTTCGGAGGCATACCACTCTGCATCTCATTCAATCAAAGCGGATCTGTTCATCGCTTTCGATTTCTGTCTCAAATGGTCTTTTGTCTGTTAGACCCTTGTTTTGCGTCCTCGCGTTCACGCTCTCTCTCCTCCTTATTCTTGCATTTCTATCGTCGTCTTCCCCTTTCTCCCTCTATCGGACTTCTTCGGATTCGGCCGTGTACGTCCGTAATTCTACGCTTTATTTGTTTATTTTGAATTTATTTGGATGTGGGTGATGGAATCATTAGATTTATTCTTGAAATAGATAGAATAGGAAAGAAGAAAGAGAACAGTAACTGAGAGTCTTCGATTTGAAATTTAACATCTTTTGAAGCTATCATTTTTTGGTTCTTGATGCTTTTAAGTTGGGAATGCAGAGGGGAGGGAGATATATGGAGTGTTCGGCGCCTCGTCGAGTGGAGACCTTGCACATGGTGGACGCAAGGACGCCAAAGAGGTACATGTTACTTAAAACGGCTATTCAAGATTTTTGTTGGTTGAAAGTTGATTGTTGTTAGACTTTGGGGATTGCTGAATTTATTTGGGTAAAATGAATCCGAGTTTGCTTAGCATCTGATGAAAAATTTTGGTAGGAGCTCCCATTGCATTCGGGAATAGTTAGAAGTTACCGTTGGGAGGTCGAAAAAAATTATATCCTGAAACAGATGTTTTTATGTTAAGGGGAAGTTTTACTGGTATTTCATGCATTCATTTAATGATCGGAATTTAGGGCATTGGCCTGGAAATAAGTTTGTTATTTATAAGTGCCCGTCAGTGAGTAGGTTTAAGTTGGTTAGAAGATTGGGTTAACTTTTTATTTTCTGAATCAACCGTAATTGGGTTCATTGCAGACAATTGCTTTCGTTTTTTCTTGAAATGCTGCAGCTCCTCTACCTTTAGAAACCAATGGATATATCAGGGTGGATTGCTACGGTGGCCTCAACCAGATGCGAAGAGATGTGAGTTTTTGAAGAAAACTCCTGAATTTCAACTTCCCAATCCATGTAGAGGAACTTTTGATCTCCCTGTTGCTCTCTTAAAATAGTGTTATAGTAATACTATCTATTGGTGAATGCAGTTTTGTGATGGTGTGGGCATTGCTCGTCTGTTAAATGCAACCCTTGTCCTGCCAAAGTTTGAAGTGGCTTCATATTGGAATGAAACAAGGTTATTCATCTTTCTGTTTATACAAAGTAATAGTAATTAAAAGTAATTTTCTGTCTTCTGTGTAAAATCTTTCTAATTTGCATTTTTTGGTAGTGATGTCCATCCGTAGGTTAGTAAATTATATTGTCGTCTAACCTAAAACTGCTTCTGAATACTTGGTTCCATTGCAGTGGTTTTGCAGATGTATTTGATGTCGACTACTTCATTCAACAGATGAATGGCTTTGTTAAGGTTGTCAAAGAGTTGCCACCAGAGATTGCATCAAAAGAACCCGTCCCAGTGGATTGTAGCAAACGGAAAGGCCAATTCGATTATGTTGAAAGTGTTCTTCCGGCTCTATTAGAGCATAGATATATTTCCTTCACGCCAGCAATGTCCCAACGAAGGGACAGGTATGTATATTTTGAGTCCTTATTCCCTGGACAACCCCCACCTTTTTTTTCCTTCTTAAAGAATACAGCGTTACACTGGAAATTAGATCATAACAGAACATTTTGGATATTGATGATTTGAAGAATTTCACGAGGCCTCTGGGTTTACTCTTATTTTTCCTTCCTTTCTCCCCTTTTCTAGGTAGCGGAACCCAATGCTTTTATGCTAATGCTTATAATGATTCATTCGATGGTTGCATCTTAAAAGTAAATCCTTTTCCCTGTCAGCATATAAGATAGCTATCAATCAGTTTGCCTAATAGATTGGCTCCTCTGCTCATAAATAATATTTTGATCATTTTCTATTCATAGTTGAGGGAAAATTTAGATTGAGCTGAAATAATTACTTTTTCGTGTGACTATTCCAGCACTTTAAAAAACCTCGCCCATTCTAATCATTGTAGGTTGCGTTATTTCAACATCTTTATTTATAATTTCCTGAATCATATAGCATAAACTAGGACAAAAACATGTCTTTTAAAAAAAAAAAAGCCCTTCCCGTTACCTTCCTCTCGTTCGTTCAGTTATAATCAACTTTGGCAGTTCTTCAAAATTCTTTTGGCCCTCATTTGCAGGTACCCTCTATATGCAAAAGCCGCTCTTTGTCAAGCATGTTTAAGGCATTACGTCTTACAAGATCCCTGGAAATGAAAGCCTCTGAGCTTCTTCAAGCTATCCCAAAACCCTTTCTCTCACTTCACCTTCGTTTTGAACCAGACATGGTTGCTTATTCTCAGTGCGAGTACCCAGGCCTTTCTCCTGTCTCCATCAAAGCCATAGAAGAAGCACCGCAAGGTGACAGAAAACCATGGACTGGTGAGTTAGCCCGCACTTGGAGAAGACGGGGGAAATGCCCGCTTACACCAAATGAGACGGCTTTAATACTTCAAGCTCTTTCCATCCCAACAAGCACCAAATATATATCTTGCGGCTGGGGATGGTCTGATGGAAATTGAAGGGTTGACAGCTACTTACACTAACATATTTACTAAGTCTAGCCTTCTGAGTAATGAGGATT